GGCGGTTCAAGGCTGCCGTTTGCCAGCCCTCAAACGCTTAAAATCCGTAAAAGGCTCCGCGGGAGCTTCGACCAGGCACTCCGGCCACAACTCTCTGTTGTTAAGGGCGTTCAATGCTGCCGTTTGCCAGCCCTCAAACGCTTAAAATCCCTAAAAGGCTCGGCGGGAGCTTCCACCAGGCACTGCGGCCACAGCTCTCTGTTGTTAAGGGTGTTCAAGCCTGCCTTTTGCCAGCCTTCAAACGCTTTAAATGCCTGAAACGTTAAGGGCGTTCAATGCTGCCGCTTGCCAGCCCTCAAACGCTTAAAATCCTTAAAACGCTCCGCTGGAGCTTCGACCAGGCACTCAGGCCACAGCCCTCTGTTGTTAAGGGCGTTCAAGGCTGCCGTTTGCCAACCCTCTAAACGCTTAAAACCCCTAAAACGGTCCGCGGGAGCTTCAACCAGGCACTCCGGCCACAGCTCTCTGTTGTTAAGGGTGTTCAAGGCTGCCGTTTGCCAGCCCTCAAGCGCTTAAAATCCCTAAAGCCCTCCGCGGCAGCTTCGACCGGGCCACAGCCCTCTGTTGTTAAGGGCGTTCAAGGCTGCCATTTGCCAGCCCTCAAAACGCTTAAAATCCATAGCCCTCCGCGGCAGCTGCGACCAGGCACTCAGGCCACTCCCCTCTGGTGTTAATGGCGTTCAAGGCTGCAGTTTGCCAAAACGCTTAAAATCCCTAAAACCCTCCGCGGGCAGCTGCGACCAGGCACTCAGGCCACTGCCCTCGTTTGTTCAAAGTGTTCAAGGCTGCCGTTTGCCAGCCCTCAAACACTTAAAATCCATAGCCTTCCGCAGCAGCTGCGACCAGGCACTCAGGCCACTGGTTTTTAAGGGCGTTCAAGGCTGCCGTTTGCCAGCCCTCAAATGCTTCAAATACCTAAAGCCCTCCGCAGCAGCTGCGACCAGGCACTCAGGCCACTGCCCTCTGTTGTTAAGGGTGTTCAAGGCTGCCCTTTGCCAGCCCTCAAACGCTGAAACGCAAGCCAACGCTACGGCCATGCTCTCGAAAGCGCAGCGGCTTTCTCTCTCGCTTCTTATTTTTTGCGTGCCCTTTTGTCCGGAACGTGCCACTGTTTCTTCTGGCATCTCTCTCTCTCTCTCTCTCTCTCTCC